TTTTTTGGTCTTTTTGAGACAGGGTCTCCCTGTAGCCCCAGCTGTCCTGGAACTCACTATGTAGACCAGGCTGGCCTTGAACTCACAGAGATCCGCTTGCCTCTACCTCCCAAGTGCTGGGATTAAAGGCGTGTGCCACCACACCCGGCAATAATTATATTATTTTTAAACTATCAGTTGCAGAATACATTTTCAATGAGACTTACTGTAATGCTAATATGAATGTTAGATGACTTTTTTCTTTTTCTTAAAAAGACAGGGTCTCTCTGTAGCCACAGCTGGCCTGGAACTCACTATGTAGACCAGGTTGGTCCTGCTCTCACAGAGATCTGCCTGCCCCTACAGTTAAGAAAAGCAATCAGTCTGGCCTTAAACTGTATGGTATCCTCCTGCCCTCATGAGAATGCTGGGATGACAGACCCTGGTACATACCACAACACCCAGTCACATTTTATGTAACTAAAATTACCTCCAACAGTTCAAGACAAAGTGACACATTTTTGCTGCTGCCATTTTTTTAAACAGGGTCACACTAGGTACCCCTGGCTGGCTTGGACTCTTGGCACTCTTCCTGCCTCAGCCTTCCCAGTGCTGGGATTATAGGTGTACACCACCACACCCAGCAAAACAGCATTATTTTAAAATTTAACACACATTTACCTACTCCTAATCATGCTATGGGACATATATATTTAATTTCAAATATTAATACGTAGTTGCTCTAAAAGACTAATTCTGCTGTAAAGACAAAATTAAATTTTGTAATTAAAAATATTTTATTGTTGGGCTGGAGAGATGGCTCAGTGGTTAAGAACAGTAGTAGTTCTTTCAGAAGACCCACGTTCAAATCCCAGCACCCACATGGCAGCTAACAACTCTCCATAACTCCAGTTCCAGGGGATCCGACAGCCTCTTCTGTCCTCCACCGGCATTGCACGACACGGGTGCACTTAACCTACATGCAGGAAATACACGAATACACATAAAATAAAAACATTAATATTTTAAAATATATTTATATTTTATTGTTATTTACTATTTTATGTGTACAAGTGTATTGCCTGCATTATGTAAGTGCACCTCTGTCCTGCAATGCCCATGGAGGTCAGAAGAGGGCGTTGAACCCCCTGGAACTGGAGTTATTAGCTGTCATGTGGGGTGCTGGGAATCAAACCCATGTCCTCTATAAGAGCAGCCAGTGCTCTTAACCACTGAGCCATCTCTCCAGCCCCAAATTTTGTAATTAAAAAAAATTATTACCCACGTGCGCTGGTGTACACTTTTAAACCCAGTACTCGGGAGGCAGAGGCAGGAGGATCTCTGTGAGTTTGACGCTAGCCTGGTCTACATAGTGAGTTCCAGGCCACCTGGGGATACAGGGAGACAAAAAATATTTATTTTTATTTTATGTGCATGAATGTATTGCCTGCATGTGTGTAAGTACACCCCTGTTGTGCAATGTCTGTGGAAGTCAAAAAAGGGCATTAGATTTCCCTGGAACTGGAGTTATGAATGGTTGTTAGCTACCATGTGGGTGCTGGGAATCAAACCCAGGGCTTCTGCAAGAGCAGCTACTGCTCTTAACAGCTGAGCCATCTCTCCAGCCCCCAAATTTTGTAATTTCTTTAAAAAGATATTAAAAAGCAAAACATGAAGATTCTATAAACTGTACATATACTAAATAGTGCCAACCATAACTGAAGTGACCTTTTAAGGTTGACACTGGCCCCCAATAACCTTCAAATAGCTGGCATTTATGATTGTAAATAAACTACTTAGCAATTTCAAGGTCTCTTAAACACTGCACTAAATCAACAAACTGATGTAATATTATTTTTGTGTCCCTGCAGTGTGTTTTAAAAACAAAAAACAGTGGGCTGGAGAGATGGCTCAGTGGCTAAGAGCACCGACTGCTCTTGCAGAGGACCTGGACTCAATTCCCAGCACCCACATGGCGGCTACGAACTGTCCTTAACTCCAGCTCCAGGGGAATCCGAAGCCCTCTTCTGACCTCCACGGCACTGCATGACACAGGTGCACTCACATACATGCAGGCAATACACTCATACACATAAAATAAAAATAATAAACAAAATATTTTTTTTAAAAAAAACAAAACAAAAAACACAGGGCTGGAGAGATGGCCCAGTGGTTAAGAACACTGGCTATTGTTGCAGAAAACTCGGGTTTGAATCCCAGCACCTACATGGCAGCTAACAACTGTCTGTACCTCCAGTACAGGGGATCTGACAGCCTTTTCTGTCCACCGTAGGCATTGCACGACACAGGTGCACTTACCTACGTGCAAGCAATACACGAATACATACAAAATAAAAATAATAAAAATAAATAAACTAGGGATTGAGGATGTGTCAATTGGTAGAGTGCTTGCTTCATCTACACATGAAGAAATCCCAAGTTTACTCCCCAATATGGCATAAAACTAGGTAAATATGGTGAAGATCATCTTCAATTCCAGCGCTGGAAGTGGAGGCAGGAGGAGGATTAGAAGTTCAAGATGATCTTCAGCTACATAGTGAGTTCATAGCAAGATCAAGATCAGCCTGGGTACATGAGCCCTGTAATTTCAGGACTGGTATTCCAGGCCAGCTTCAGCTACATTCAAGTTTGAGATCAGTCTGGGCTTCAGGAAACCCTGTTTCAAAAAACCAAAAGCCAAGCAAACAAACAAAACACTGAATGCACTATCTTGATTCTACATGGTCATACAGTAATGCACTTTGGTAACCTTGTTTTCTGACAATGTTATCATTTCAGAGCCTTTACCTGTTATATCTGTAACATCATAAAATTGACACAATTATTTTGAAAAGTACTATCACTAAGTGAAAAACTCGGGTTTGAATCCCAGCACCTACATGGCAGCTAACAACTGTCTGTACCTCCAGTACAGGGGATCTGACAGCCTTTTCTGTCCACCGTAGGCATTGCACGACACAGGTGCACTTACCTACGTGCAAGCAATACACGAATACATACAAAATAAAAATAATAAAAATAAATAAACTAGGGATTGAGGATGTGTCAATTGGTAGAGTGCTTGCTTCATCTACACATGAAGAAATCCCAAGTTTACTCCCCAATATGGCATAAAACTAGGTAAATATGGTGAAGATCATCTTCAATTCCAGCGCTGGAAGTGGAGGCAGGAGGAGGATTAGAAGTTCAAGATGATCTTCAGCTACATAGTGAGTTCATAGCAAGATCAAGATCAGCCTGGGTACATGAGCCCTGTAATTTCAGGACTGGTATTCCAGGCCAGCTTCAGCTACATTCAAGTTTGAGATCAGTCTGGGCTTCAGGAAACCCTGTTTCAAAAAACCAAAAGCCAAGCAAACAAACAAAACACTGAATGCACTATCTTGATTCTACATGGTCATACAGTAATGCACTTTGGTAACCTTGTTTTCTGACAATGTTATCATTTCAGAGCCTTTACCTGTTATATCTGTAACATCATAAAATTGACACAATTATTTTGAAAGTACTATCACTAAGTGAGAGACACAGAGATAAAATTTTGTGAGAAAAATCAAAAGCTGTTTTATAAACAGCTGTTCTTCAGACACTGGTCAGCAACTACAGACCCAGCAACTCTGAAGGCTGAGTCAGAAGCATCACTTGAGCCCAAATTTAGGAGTTCAAGAACAACCTGGGCAATATAGCAAATTTCCATTAAAAACAAACAAAAACAAACCCCAAAACTTTTCAAGTCTATTTTACAAAGAGAAGTTAAACTGCTTTATATGCAAATAACTAGACAGAATTTCCTCTGGATTTATGAAATATATCTGAAATGATCTTACTTAAAATGTAGGCTTTTGTTATATATAAAGAACTCAATCCAAAGGGATGCTTTAAAGTAATAGAAAATCACCTGAATTATAATGTAATTAATGCATAATCAAAAGACATATCACAACATAAGAAAGGAGGCTCATGTTCTTGAGTGTCTTCTTTATGCCATGACCATGCCAGGCATTGTTGTAGACACTGGTAATACAGTGGTGAAACTGTCAGTAAAGAAAAAGAAATGAGTGTGGTGGCACACACCTTTAATCCCAGCACTTGGGAGACAGAGGCTGGCAGATCTCTCTGAGTTCAAGGCCAGCCTGCCTGGTCTACGTAGTAAATTCCAGGACAGCTGAAGCAACAGGGAGACCCTGTTTCAAAAAGACCCCACCCAACCCCCCCAAAAAAACAGAGAAAAAACAAATCTTAGTTTCAAATATAAGCTCTAAAAGTGAGAGCTCAATTACTCCCAATGGTAGCTGATTGATATATTTGAATGGAGCTATATCTTCCTTGTGCAATTCTAGTAAATGTAAGCAGAAATTCATTTTATGATCTTTTTTTCCTAAAGATTTATTTTTTATGAGTGTGTATGCTTTTCCTGCACCTATGTATGTGCACCATATGTGTGCAGTACCTGTGGAGGTCAGAAGAGGGCACTGGATCCCCTGGAACCAGAGTTACAGACAGTTGTTAGTCACCAAGTGGGTTGCTAGGAACTGAACCCGAGGTCATATGGAAGAGCAGCCAGTACACTAAACCTAAGGGCATCTCTAAGGGCATCTCTCCTGCCCCTTATTAAAAAGTAGTAAAATTAGAACCAACATTGGGGATAACCTAGAAATACAATGGACAAGTCTTTGGTATTTAACAACTCTCAGTTTTATAAGACAACAGTCACCAAGCTAAAGTACCTAGTGACTCATATACCCTGAAAAATGGCATGATATAGTGAAGATTTTATGAAGGTAGTTAATTATCAGAAATGCCTATAGGCTCCTACTGTCTAAGACAACAGAAACCCACTGACATAGAACTGATCATGAATAAAAGAGGCCTGGCAAAAATCTATGATCAGGGAAAAAAGATTGTACCATTTAT